TGCTCCAACAAAGAATTAAAAGATTAAGCCACTACGATGCACAGAACCAAGAATATTATGCGTCAAAAGTCTGAAATAAACTAACCTTGCACTCTATGCACAAGTCGAAATTTTTTATCAGTGCGCTTAAAATGTTACAAATAGCCACAATGGCACTTGTATTCCTCTAAAACAATGTCAAGTGGGTATAGGCAACGCCACGAGTCATGAAAGTGCGCAGAAGCGAAAAATAGGTTTCGGCACGGTGAGGTGTGAGGTACGGGGAAGCGAAACCATAGCAACGGGCGACGCGCTACTCCCACGTAGTTTCTCCCTGCGTCCCGTCGCCCGCGCACCGTCTTGTGTTGTCTTGCGTACTATCGATATCGAAAGTATTAGCGACTACCTGTTATAAATTTTTTAAATTTTTGCGATTATTTTTGTACTTTTAAAAATAGCATAATTTGTAGTATATTGTATAAAGTTGTAAATATTTTGTTATTTTCTACGAGATGATGATGCAAATTATTGTATGTAAAATATCCTTATAATCGAAGGCTATCGCATAGTATAGTTTAAACAGCAATTACAAATACAAAAATACAAATACAAAATATTTTATTTCTTTAAGTGTACATAAAATACAGAATATTATTTAAAAGCAATTAACACCTAACGATGATATAACGTTCCGTTTTCGTGGAGACTTTGATGTCGACCTTTGACTTTTTACATATTAAAATGCCATAATAAAATTTTCATTTTTCTGCTTGATTGTACATGCGCAGTAGACGCTATTTAATTTCATCTTTCGTGGCGAGACCTATACTCAGATGTTAATTTATAACGCATAAGCTAAAACATACAAATATGTCAATGCATTCATATATATAACAACTTTGTTACTCAAAATTAATGAGTGAGTAGATTTTTTGGAGGTCAGTGTAACAGTAATACGTTATCAGTTATATTAACCTCGTAAGGCCCAATTACCACCCAATGTTCCCAGTGGAGAATTAAATAAAAGATGTGCTTACCGCCCAGACAGAAACGAGTTCATTAGAAAGTGTTATAGGAATAATAGAACAAAATACTTTATGTGTCTCATACATAACACCACCTTGAATGTATTTTTACAACTTTGGAAGCAATTCTTTTTGTTCTCATGTAAAAACATTGGGCAGTTGTTGCATTTTACCTACAGTTTTATTTGTCTTCAGACGATGGCATTGGTTTCAAGTTTAGCAAACCAAAATAATAAAAAATCTACTGTATACTTCTTTTACTCCTTATTTTAAATAATACAAAAACGTGTGCGAGATTTATTATAATAACGACTTTATTATAATGTCGAGTCACGGTAATATTATCTATACAGTATTGTAACTCGGCCGTATCTTTGAAATAAATGCCTACAGCCGTGCGGTACGTAAACATGCGATAGGGCTGCCTCCAGCATTTTTACATTTGGCTACTTTGTGTTTCTATTTAGTTTTATGATTGTAAATATACTTTTTTTTATATAAACAAATATAATAGGTACTTTGTGAATTGAATAGGAAGGGTTCAATAAAAATGCGTGTCGTTTTTTGATGGGTAGATTTAATTAAAAAACCATGTTTATGTTTGAATAACTAAACGTCTTATAAATTTGCGATCGAAAAATATTTGAGCCTCGGCTGAGACGTACGAAATGCTTTATTATTAAATTTTTAAGTATAAAAAAACCGCATTCTAATATAAAGCTTAATTAAAAATTATTTTGGGAAACATGGATAAGGTGGAGAAAAGGAATATCTTTTACTTGGTTACGGATACCTGCAGCTACTTTACAATTTATATGTTTGGTTTTAATGAAGTTTGATTTATTATTTTTTTTTTTTTTTTTTGGAGTGGGGATTCTTTTTCGAAATATTTTTGTTTGGTAAAATCAATTTTGCCGGGGTGAATGTTGGTTTTAAATGAAGTTCGGATTTATTATTTCTTTATTTCTATTCTATTATGTATTTCCTCCATTTTTATATTTTCCACAAAATCGTCACTGCGGCACTGTCACGACTGTCTGCATGCCGAGCGCATGCCGAGATCGAGGCGCGTAGGCATAGCTCTCGCTTCGTCCATTTGTATGAAGTTGGAATACTGTATAGATAAAATTACCGTGTCGACGTCGTTTTCTCGATGTTAAGGCGATACCTCCAGCGAACGACCTTGAGCGTTTGGTCTGTCGACGCTCGCTACAATATATCGCGTAAGAAATCGCCAAAAGACGCCACCTACTGCTACGAACGTAGTATTATTTTTTCAATGTCAATGAACTATTCTATGGAAATAGACACGGCGTACAATGATAAATGTATTTTAATTTTCTTTATTCGGTATATTAGTTGCATTATATTAGAATTATGTATTCTAATATATTATCTAATTAATAAAAATGACTATTTTGATTATTTTTAACTATATACTATACTGCTAATATTGAATTAGCTTTTTATAGTGTAAATTATAATATTTGTCGAAATATTAATTATGGATTCGAACTTTACATGCTAATGGTGCTTCATTTTTGTTATTTTCATTTACTTACATATTGAAAATATACTTGAATAGTAGGCATTATTATTTTATTTAGCTACTGAATTTTAGGATATGTTTTACCATGAGGTCAAATATAATTTTGAGGAGCAATAGTTATTACCTACTAATCTTTTATCTGCTATTTCTTATTTAGTAACAATATTAGTAAATTGAGTTTGAGGGAGATTTACTGTTTATAATGCTACATTTATTATTTTAATATTTACCTTCTGGGTAGGTAATTATTAAAATAATAAATATAGCATTAGTAACTAAATAGATATGTTTTTTAAATTTTTAAAAATTAAATTTTCGTATTTTTAAAAATTACTAAAAAAAAGGGTTTGAAATAATAGATTTTCTCACAAAAAGAAGGGAACTTGAAAAAAAAAGGGAAAAAAAAGCGGGACCAAAGCCAAGACGCGAACCACGGAACTCCGATATCACGCCCGACCGACATACTACCTGAGCTATAACGACCGTTAGTGATTTGTCGAAATTTACCTTCTTATATTGTAGCAGTTTTTTTATTGCCTGAAAACATGGACAAAAGGACATTTTCTAAAAATAAATCCAAGCTTTCGTCGCTAAATCGTTGGAGCCGTATAATTTTCTCATCTGGTTCGGTCATATAAATATTTAAATATATAAAAATTATAAATTAAAATGAAAAGATAAATATACATAAATATCAATAAAATAAAATAAATACAAAATAATATTATATTATTACTGTTTTTATTATTATTATAAGTTGTGGTTCGGTGAAGCTGCAACCTAATGGACCATGATCTGAAATTTTTATGAAAAGAAGTGGCTGACGTCAATTATTATTATTCTTATTATTTTTTCATTACTGCCTTTTTCAACCTCACAAGATATTTGTAACTGCAAAAAAGAAAACTACGTATAAGTAAGTAAATCAGTAATATACTGTTATGTATGATTCAGACTAAATAAAGGTTCCTAAAAATAGATGTAGATAAAGAAATTGCATAAAAAATTACTCAAATAAAAATGCAATAAACTAGTTAATTTTATAGGTACTTAGTAAAATATTAAAATAATAAGTTTTTTAGGATATTTATGTAAAACATAAAGGTTATATTATGTTCTAACTACGTTCACGCTTGCGCATATAAAACCGCGGAATTTCACTAGTTTTATTATCAAAATAATAATTGACAACCCTACCCTAAGTTTCCCTTGATTTTACCAACTCAAACTCCTTTTAGGAGATCAAAACATAGAGAGAAAGATAGGAGACTATTCTTTATTTAATATGGTTGGATCTTTATTTATTTGTATATTTTTTGTATTTATTTTATTTTATTGATATTTATGTATATTTATCTTTTCATTTTAATTTATATTTATAAAAATCCAACCAGATGAGAAAACTATACAGATACCCCAACAATAATAATATAATAATAATAATATTCGTATTTCCCAACAATAATAATAATGGCGTAGGGAAGTGACGACCCCATCGCCCGTTGACGTGACGGTTATGTGACAAAACCGCTACGTCCGCGCAGTCAGTCAGCACCTTGCCAAGAGGTGTGAGCGCCGTGCCTCGGCAAAAATTGATGGTGCAAGGGCCCGCTTGTGCATATGGCCTCACCATGAAACGGCGCCGGGTCTGGGCGTCTCCCGTTAAATGACGCCCTGTATGGATGATGGAACATAGAAGATTGCGCAAAGGGCCGCTGCCTGGAGGTCGTCAGGGCGCGTCTGGAGCTGGCGCTGGACGCGACAGCATGCGAACCGCCAGCCGAGCGCGAGGTGCTGCACGACCACCCAGCAGCCCCTCGCATCCATCATCCCCACCAGCTTGCTTGGTGTCGGCAGGGTCTTCGCAGGCCCAGCAATCGGCACCCGCCACTGGTGGAGTACGCCGCATGCGATGGACCATCAATATGAATTCAAACGCATTGCGGGCGTATTTTAGGGCGAAAGGGGGGAGAAATTGGAGATTTCGCGTATCGGGCTAGGATGCATCGTCTTTTTACTGAGCTGGAGCCATCTATTACTGTCACCGAGCAAAACCTGGCAGACCGAGTTCGGTATATCTTACGCTCAAATATATTTGATGGCGCCGAACTCGAACGGCTACGACGTGAGGCTGTTCCCTCATCAAATGAAAACGCTACGACTGAGGGTGCGGTGCTGTGGCACCGCACCCTCAGTCGTAGCGTTTTCATTCAACTTGTGAGTTGCAGAACAACCCGCACACGTGGATGCCGCCGAGAATACCCCAGTGGTTGCTGATTCAAATGATGATGGAACATTCACCCAGGAACTAGAAATAGAGCAAATGAGGAGTACATTGGAAGAGGCGATTATGGAAACGCGCAGTACGCCTCTCGAAAATCGACCGCGACTTCCCCCGCATAGCCCTAAGCAAGCGGAATCGGGCTGTCGTGAGGGCTCTGAACCCAATGCTGGTGACCTATTTGGAAGCCAGCCGGGACCTTTGCGAGACGGACTCAATTCTCTTTGGCGCCGCACTGGCAGTCTGCCGTATTATAGGCGCCAAACTTTCCACGACTGGACGCACTACTGGACAAAGTAGTGCTATCCCAGCCTGGAGAACAAGAATTGAAGAACGTATCGCAAAGGCTAGGGCCCTCATCGGCAGACTGATATGCTTCAGGTCAGGCAATACCAGGCCAAGGATTGTGCGCACCGTCAGGATGGCGTTTGCTGGGACAAATGTTAGTTTGTCCCAGCCGGATATAATGCAAAAACTGACGGAGCGCATAGACGACCTGAAGCAGAGAATCGCTGCTTGGGGAAAGCGAATTCGGCGATATACCGAGAGGTCGACACGGTTCAACCAGAATCGTCTCTTCCAGAGTGATCAGAAGAGGCTCTATAAATCATTGGAGCGACCAATGGTAAGTGGAACGGGCCCAGTACCGAATCAGGCCGACACGGTCGCATTCTGGCGCAGCCTGTGGTCAGAGCCCGTAAACCACAACGAGGGCCCTTGGACGGAAGTTGTGGCGAGTCAGTGTGCGGGTATTACGCCCATGGACCCCGTCACCATAACGCCGGATGACGTAGCTGAGGCGGTCCGTAGGGCCCCGAACTGGAAAAGTCCGGGACTCGACGGGCTGCATCACTACTGGCTGAAGGGGTTCGTGGTGTGTCACACTGTGCTCGCCCGACAGTTTCAAGAGGTTCTCAACCAGAAGTCGCTCCCGAGCCTCTTCACTACTGGGATCACCCATTTGGTTCCTAAAGGCCAGAGTACCACAGACCCGAGCAAATACCGCCCCATCACATGTCTACCGACCATATATAAGACACTAACATCCATTTTGAGCGCGAGAATCACTCGTCACCTGGACTCAAATCAGGTGATGTCGCGCGCTCAAAATGGATGTCGGGGCGGCGGTCGTGGAACCAAGGAACCACTCCTCATTGACGCGGTCATTGGCAAAGTGGTGAAACGCAACCGTCGGAACTTCTCCGCCGCCTGGATAGACTACAGAAAGGCATTCGACTCGGTGCCCCATACATGGCTAAAGAGAGTCCTCGAACTGTACAAGATAGACTGTACAGTTAGAGACTTCCTCGAGCAGTGTATAAGGCAGTGGAGTACGATCCTTTGTCATCTGGGCGAGCGGATGATGGCTGCGGAGAACCACATAAGGATAAGAAGGGGTATCTTCCAGGGCGATTGTCTGAGTCCAATATGGTTCTGCCTCTCTCTGAACCCTCTCAGTACCTTACTGGAGGGCTCCGGGAGGGGATTTCAGCTACGGAAAGGAGGGACAAAAGTGACCCACCTTTTCTATATGGATGACCTCAAGTTATTCGCCTCCAGTCGCTCCCATCTTATGGAACTGCTAAACATCACTTGTGAATTTAGCAATTCCATTGGAATGGAGCTGGGGACGGATAAGTGTGCGGTCCTCCATGTTGAGAGGGGTAGGGTTGCTAACTCTGAGGGCATAGACTTATCTATGCCCGTCAACTTAAGGACCCTTTCCGAGGCTGAAACATACCGATACCTGGGTATGTCACAGAACATTGGTATCGATGAGGCTGGTATGAAACAGTCAGTTTGCGACGTGTTTTATGCACGCTTGACCAAAGTGCTTAACAGCCTTTTGTCCGGTGTGAATAAGACACAAGCATATAACGGCTGGGTCATGCCTGTCCTCATGTATACCTTTGGCATACTCAGGTGGACTCAGACTGAACTTAACGCCCTGGATAGAAAAGTCCGCACTACCATGACGTCCCACAGGATGCATCATCCGAGATCGTCGGTAATGAGGCTGTACTTGCCGCGAAAGCATGGTGGGCGTGGCTTCTTGAGCGCGCTCACCATGCATAATCGCGAAGTGTGCAGCCTCCGTAATTACTTCCTGGCGAGATCGGATGATCCATTCTATAAGGACGTCATTTCTTGTGATAAAGGACTTACCCCTCTATCCTTAGCCAACGAGCAATGGCAAGACCCGGCAGTGCAGACAATTTCCGACCGGGAGACCGTATGGAAGGAGAAGGAGCTCCACGGGAGGTTCTACAAGTCTCTACATGGGCCTTTCGTAGACACAGTAACCTCTCTCCACTGGCTACGCTTTGGTGACCTCTTCGGGGGAAACCGAGGGTTTTGTCTGTGCAATACAGGATCAGGTTATTAAGACCAACAACTATCGGAGATACATCCTAAAGGATGGCACCATCGACATCTGTCGAGCTTGTCGCCATCCCGGTGAGTCACTTAGGCATGTCATCTCCGGTTGTTCGGCGCTTTCTAACTCTGAGTACTTGCACAGGCACAACCTAGTAGCCAGAATTCTACACCAGGAGCTCGCTCTGAAATACGGTTTCGTGGATCGGAAGTTGCCGTATTACAAGTACTTGCTGGAATCCGTGCTCGAAAATGATCGCGCCAGGCTCTATTGGGACCGGGCCATCATCACAGACAGGACTATTCTTGCGAATAAGCCTGATATTGTGCTGATGGACCGGGCACAGTCAAGGATATTTTTGGTCGACATTACCATTCCGTGTGACGAGAACCTCGTGAAAGCCGAAACAGATAAGCAAACAAAATATCTGGACCTGGCTCACGAGGTGACCGACATGTGGGGTGGTCTGCCGACCGAAATTATTCCTGTAGTCGTCTCTGCAAACGGGCTAATCCCAGTCAGCCTCTCGGGTCATCTGAGGCGGCTGGGACTACGTGGCGGACCGCTCCAGGCTCAAATGCAGAAGGCGGTGCTCCTCGATACCGCCCGCATCGTCCGCCGGTTTCTTTCCCTTTCCCCCTAACCCTCGGCCGTTTGGTCTCCCCTGCCGAGGGCTTCCATCTGGTTGGGCCTTTATTTATTTATGTATTTTCATATTTATTTTATTTTATTGATATTTTTGTATGTTTATCTTTTCATTTTCGTTTATAATTATATATTTATACATCCCAACCAGATGAGAAAACTATATAGATACCCCACACATAATAATATTCCACAACTATCACACAACGCCATCTAGTCCCAAGCTAAGCAGAGCTTGTGTTATGGGTACTAGACAACTGATAAACATACTTATATATTTCTAAATACATAAATATTATAGATAAATTTACACCCCAGACACAGAACAAATGATGGTGCTCATCACACAAACATTTGTCCTGGGTGGGAATCGAACCCACGACCTGCGGCATAGCAGTCAGGGTCACTAACCACTAGACCAACAGGCCTGACGATAAATAAAATAAAGTCTCTAGCTCGAGAGGAGAGGAGCCGTGGTAGCTCAGATGGTTAGCGCTTGCTAAAATTTTCACAGTGTGCGAGCAAACCGGGTTCGATCCCCGCCGGCACCAATAATATTGTAATTGCAATTTTAAGCGTTGATTTACCACGTGCTCAGTGGTGAAGAAAAACATAGTGAGGAAACCTGCATGTCTGAGAAATAAGAAAAAAAATATTTCGAAGACATGCAAAGTTCGCCAACACGCAGTGGGGCAGCGCGATGGATAATTCCTTTCCTAGGATCCTTTCAGAAAATAGAATAGAAATAAAAAAATAATAAATCCAAACTTCATTTAAAACCAAACATATAAATTGTAAAGTAGCTGCAGGTATCTATAACCAAGTAAAAGATATTCCTTTACTCCAACTTGTCCATGTTTCCCAAAACAATTTTTAATTACGCTTTATATTATAATTCGGATTTTTTTATATTTAAAATTTTAATAATAAAGCATTTCGTATTTTTTGGCCGCAAATTTATAAGACCGATTTGTTATTCAAACATAAACATGGTTTTTTAATTAAATCTACCAATCATAAAACGACACGCATTTTTATTGAACACTTCCTATTCAATTCACAAAGTACCTATTATATTTGTTTATATAAAAAAGTATATTTAAGTACAATCATAAAACTAAATGGAAACACAAAGTAGGAAAATGCATTGAGTTATAAAACACATAAATCAATGGGCAAATGTAAAAATGCTGGAGGCAGGCAGCCCTGTCGCATGTTTACGTACCGCACGGCTGTAAGATTTATTTCTAAGATACGGTCGAGTTACAATATACCGTAACGTAAGCGCATCGGTTGGTAGGTACTCAAATAATATTATGTTTGCGGCGAAATACGGACGCGGCGACCAGCGACGCGGCCACCTCCTACGAACGCATACAGCGTAATGCCGCCCGCACTCTGCGCACGCCCCTTTATCATAGAAGTCACACAATTTTTCGGAATTATTTCAATTATAAGAGAAAAAACGAACTTAAAATTTAAATAAAACGTGGAGAATATAGATTTTTTAATTATCTATCCATTAGTGTTATCCTCAAGTAATTAGAGCGTTGCGTTTAGCAACAGATGCATGTAATCAAGAATTTTAGTCATTTTTTAAAAGTTGATTTTAAATGTATTTATAGCACATAAAAATAAATTAGAACGTGGAATGCGATGATAAGATATCGAACATTAATAATGTACTTTTAGATGTAGTTTATTTTTCATAACTAATGAGATAATAGAGTCTGAAAAACGCACTTTCGCAACATTTTGGTCAGGGATTCACCTTAATGTATATTTCAACCATTTTGTCGCCATGATCTAATTTGAAGAAACTTGGTTTTTATATTTTTAACATTACTCCTTTATAAACGTGATCTTTTTTAATTAGAGCTATGAAAGCAATATTACTTAGGTATGATTTGTTCTTTCAATGAGTAAAATTATAAACTCATCATTTACATAATGTTGAAAATATTATGTAATTTTTTCCAAGAGATTTCAAGTTGTCGACATTCAACATTTTTCGTATTGGGCCGAAGGGCATAAATTATTAAGTATTTCTCTGATCACATTGGGCCTTACGAGGTTAATTCGCTTACTATTTGCCTTCCGTTTCTATTGTTTTTAACCACCTTCGAAAAGGAGGAAGTACTCAATTCGTCTGTATTTTTTTATGTGTGTTGTTATCTCAAAACGTTTCCTGAGTGAACGGATTTTGATGATTCTTTTTTTATTTGACCTCGCAGGATGTTCGAGCGTGCTACAAAGTTCCTCTTAAATAAACTTGAACACTTGCAACTGTTTCATTTCTTGGCTCTAGAAATTTAACCGAATATCTAAAGTTTCTTGACTTCGCAGAACACTTAATTGTTGTTTCTTTTATGACATATTGCCGTGTGTAAGCGGATCTGTCACTCAGTCTTGTGGGAGGCCACGATAAAGGTAATTACCAGAATTTTATAGCTACATGGCAGTATATCATCTCGATGAAGCCAGATGCATAATATCAAGACTAGACATATTCATCGTATCGTATTAAGTTTATTTTACGAACTTAAAAACCTACTCATGGGTATTACAATTTAAAATATACATAATATTGTGTAATTGATGTACACGTTCTAATAATTTAACGGCCCATAAAATGGATCAAAGGGGTTATAAAGGTTTTTATACTTTTACAAAAAAGTAAACGTAAAAAAAAACAACGTACTTACACGACAATAATTCAAAGTACAACATAGGTACGCCCTACTGCTTGGCATGGGTTCTTTTTTTTATTTTTCTAACTTACAAGGTTCATAACCACGTATTTATACGCCAGTAACTAGTGGTAGATACCTAAATCTTAATCATTCATCCTGCCGGAAAATGCTTACTAGTGTGTACTATTAACACGAATATCCTCTAATATAAACGTCAATTCACTTAAGGAGAGTCGATCATGTTGCCGCTTGCTACTAAAAGCTACTAAAAGCCCTCCATAAAAGCAATAATTAAATTGCCGTAACGCAATTTAGTAAGGCGGTGCTGGCGAAGGTGCCTCGGAAAGAGGAATCTATCTTTGTACATAACATTCCCTATTAATATCTCAGTACCCATATTAATTACATATCTTTTAGTTTAAGGACCTAAAAGATATATTGTGATCCCTGCTATGGCTATTCACATTCATAGCATATATTCACAGCTAAGCCCTATGTATTCAATTAATAGAAGGAGTTGCTTAGCCGCGAGCAATTACACATCTTCTGAGCGGAGTACATAGTTTCCGGGCAGTGGCGTAGCTACCTAGGGGCTAGGCGGGGCAGTGCCCCGGGGCCCTCAAGCACAGGGGGCCCTCGAATCCTTACCAGAAAATCTCGATCGAACTGAACTTTTGAAAATTTCTCCCATTTTCAAAATAAATATAACATGTTGCAACCCGACTTTAAACATGGCAACTCAGCTGAAAGAAATTCGAAAGTTATACCTAGGGAATTCACTTAAATTCTTTCTGTGGGTTGGCAGTGTCGTCAATTTGACGGATAGCGATATGTGCGTTTTATTATTCATCGATGTGCGTTTTATTGTGAATTCAAGTCAAGATTTTTTTTGAGAAGGGTTAAAAAATTGTATTACTATATTATAATTAATACTATATTATAAGCTAATGTCAATAAACTTTTTAGTACTAGTCAATATAGTGGTTCAATTTTATTTGATTTTATTACCATTCGTATTGATGTACGTTACGTCAATAATTATCTTGTCAAATCTATAGATTTCGGCTATAACGCGAAATATCGTCAAAAAAATGCAGGTCACCTGCAGTTAGTGCATTAATTCGGGCCCACGCGTGAGGAGATCGTTCTTGGTCTCTACTATTAAATGTGGTAACACTAGCGGCGATAAAATGTTCGCCGGGGATTCCCCAAAGACGTCTCTCCTTCCTTTTACTTTTAACGTCGACAGTGAACAGTGAGTAATAAATAAATTAGGAAACTAAAATTATGGACAAAAAGAAGAAACTTGAAAAAGAAAATTGCCCAAAATTGGCAAGTTTTTTAGTCAGCCTACTGCAAGTACTACTGGACAAAATATTTCTATTGATAGTGACTCAAATAATGTGGTAACTGCGGTGTTGGTTGAGAAGCCTACTGAAGATTCGACAATTATTGCAGTTGGAGATAGCGGAGGATTTGTAAGAACCACATACCTCTACATTTTTCGAAAATGTGTACGTTAAATCTTTTAATGACTTGGTAAACTTTACGAACAAAATATTAAGTGATAACGAAAAACGTCAAATTCTTGATATATGTCCTTTACAGCCTTCAGGACCTCTTCCAACAGACATCAACCAGAATAATAGGTGTTTTTCAAAATAGTACTACCTTTCAAGGTCTAAATATGAACCAGTTAATCGTTTTTGGTTGTGTTATTCCAAAATATTAGTATTATACGTGGTAGAGCCATGCTGCAGTTATATTAGTAGTATAGTTGTAGCACGAATGGGTCGGCTCGACCGGGGAAGGACCACGCTCTCACAGAATACCAGCGTAAATTAGTAGTTTAATGCTGCTGTGTTCTGTATGGTGAGTGTAGAGAACCGGAGACCCTTTTTACTGGAAACAAGGCATTCCATCTTAATCCTCACTGGTGACAACGCATCTGCATTTCGATAAGTAATCGAGGATAGATGTAGATGTCTATAGGCCGTAGCAACCACTTACCATCAGGTGGACTGTGTGCATAAACTAATAAGAGTAACTATGTGCTAGTTTGTCACCCTATCCTATAAAAAACAACTAGAGGCTGCCTATTGTCAACCCTGCTGGTTATTTGCTTCACAAAGGAATAATGATTGGTGTACGGGAATTCGGTATTGGAAGCTTTTATCAGAAAGAAGTAAATAACACAGCCAAATGGCCATACGGAGCATGTGCTGTATATGAATTTTGGAAAAAAAATTATACTAATACTATCGACAAGGAACATGAAAATGAAATTCGCAAGGAAGCATCATTTTGGCAAATGGTTCTTCAAAGGTTATTCGATGTTATACTTACCCTAGCAAAGAGTGATTTGGCTTTGAGAGGACCTCGAGAATACTTAAGTCAAGAAGGATACCATGAAGTTTTCTGTCCTTTGTAGAGCTTGTCGCCTAAAGGTAATAATTATTATTTCTAAGTTTTTTATCATTTTATTTTGTTTATAATTATTACTGTATAATATCAGGACTTTTTTGAAAATGTGTTTTCTTTATAATTTTTAGGTTCTACAAGATATATGAGTGCAACAATTCAGAATGAAATGATTGAGAGCTTGGGGACCAAACTTGAAACCCATCTACTAGAACAAATTAGGGCGTTACCGTTTTTTGCCAGCATAATGGATATGACACAGGACATATCGAAGATAGATCAGCTAAGAATTGTTGTGAGGTATTCAGTAATAACCAGATCGGAAAATGGACAGCCAATTGATATACAAGTAAAAAAAGTGTTTCTAGGCTTTTACGCAGCCATCAAACGTGGCGCAGCAGATTTAGTCAACCAAGTGACTAAATTATTTATCGACAAAAATATTGATTTAAAAAAATGTGTGGGGCAAGATTATGATGGAGCCAGTGTGATGAGTGGTTTATATAATGGTGTACAAAAACATATTAAGGATATCCAGCCTAACGCGGTGTACGTACATTGTGCTACTCATAATTTAAATTTGGTGATAAATGATACCGTTAGCAGTTGTGTGAAAATATAGATTTTTTCGCAATGTTGCAAGATTCGTATAACTTTTTCGGAAACAGCATCAAACGTTGGAATCTACTGTCAAATTTCACTGGCGAATCAGACACCATTCCAACAATACTAAATCCTACTAGATGGTCCAGTAGAGTCAATACGATATCTGCAATACAACTTTGTTCCTTTGATATTATCAAAGCATTATCAGAGACTGTTCTAAAAAGTCCTAATAAAGATGAAGCGTAGTGAAGTAGAGAGTATTAAAAAAATATTAAATTTCGAGTTCTTGTTGCTTTGCGAATTCGTGCACAGTGTAATGAATGACATCAAACATGCATTTAAAACTTTACAAAAATGCGACATCAATTTGGGCGGGGCAAGTAAAGCTTTAGCAGAGACCAAAACAAAGTTGCAAATTTATGGAAATGATTTCGAATTATTCAAGTGCAAAGCCAGTGAAACTGCAATAAAATATGGTATAGATACCCATTTTTAAGAAAAAAGGCAAAGAAAAGTTAAAAATATTTAGATATAATAGGCCCTAACTTTTCACTTCAATTTATTAATATTTACCACCTTGTTTTACCTCAATTAACTCAAGTATTGACTGTTCACTAATTATGTAAGGAAATAATGAGCAAATATGGAGTGCTAGAATGCGACCTAACGGAAGTATTCACAGCAATTTTATTATTCTTTACAATTCCAAATTTTAAATTTCAATGAAAAATAATACAAATATTTAAGTAATAGTATGGGCCAAACTTGACTCCGACATTAATCGCTAATAGCTATTGAAAACAAAACCGCATCAAGCCTGGATTTAATCGAAGTCATTGATACTTTTGCGAAAACTAAAGCTAGAAAAAGATTGTAAATATAATTGTTATTTAGTTAGTTGGTAGGTCCGACCTTAATATAATAAAACCTTGAATCTTTTCTATTTCGTTTTATTGCCCAATACCTACACCAAGTATTAATTGTAATTTATGTTGTTACTGTTTAATATTTTTATTACCTGCCCTTCAGTGCACGAAAAAGAGCTGATGACAAAGTAGCTTAGCATTTTTAAAGTATTTGTATATCTAATATTTTTACTTGATAAAACCTAACCAGTTTAGATAGCAGTGGGGCCCCATATTTTGATTTGCCCCAGGGCCCTTGGTTACCAAGCTACGCCACTGTTTCCGAGATGAGTGTTACGTTTGCGCATTAAGGGTCCGCAATCAGTTAGGATGTGGAGAGGCTTTTCTTCCGTTATTGACCAAACCCGACACATCTTGAGTTGCTTAGTCCCATGATGGACGTGTGCTTTTTAAGACAACAGTATCTAGTAAGCGCACTTGCCAGAATGCGCAGAATATTTTTACCTAATCTCAGGGCTTCTGAAGCGAATTTACGATCATGAGCCCGGATTAAGGTTTTACAACGTCTTAATCCTGGTGTGTCATACCAGATCTTCAGTGAATTATTGTGATAAAGAGTTTCAAAGGTCAATCGGGCTAGGCTTCTTGAGATTCCACAAAATGGCTCTGGTCTAAAGTGTATGATTTTTTATATTGAGCCCTCCCGTGCAAGTTTGTTGACACATTCATTGCCTACAATACCCGCGTGATGCAAAATCCATCTTAAGACTACCCTGTTGTTACATCCCAGGGCGTTCAAAAGGTACAAAAGGTGTAGGTAGTTGTTTTTACCATTGCCGTCATGTACAAATCAGTATTAATGTAGGGGTTTCCACGCTCGTCACAAGTATACAGTTGTAACTCATCCCAATGCGCTACCACATACTTGATTATAGCAAGTCTAATCTCATACGACGACTCAATATTCCCATACATATAATGACAAAGAATGAAATAAACACGAACAATCGCAAGGTATAGGGACAACCCAGTGTGGGCAAGGATTGTCATTTACATACAGTATTTCCGAATCCATTGCGACTACTAGTACTTGTACGCAAGAGTTTTTTTTTTGTGCAGGAATACGATTAATAGATAAACGTGACTTGAAAGTACTTGAAACGTATTAATATATCTTAAAATTATCCGAACAACGTCCAAATCCTTGGCAAATAATATATATAAATGTAAACCAATGAGTAAGTCTTCCAATCGTCAAAGCAATAATAGAATATATCAATCAAATCAATAATAAAATAATAATAATAATCGAAATTAGAACCCAATTTATTAGAATATATTAGAACCCAAAATTAGAACCCAAGAATTAGAACCCAACCAGATGAGAAAACTATATAGATACCCCATAATCAAAATTATAAACGAAAAGGTAATATTACAACGTCTTAATATACGTTAAAATTATCCAAACAACATCCAAATCGTAAGCAAATAATATAAGTAAATCAATAAGTAAGAAGCCCTTCAGTCGTCAAACTAATATAGCAACCGAAATTATGAAAGAAAAACGCAAATTTATAAGGTAAGATTTTTAGGGTTTTAGGCACATCGGAACAGCAAGAGGGCGCTCGCGCATATGAGCGCAGCGGATGCCACGCCACCCGCTCGTTACCTCTGAGCGCGCCGCGAACCGCCGGAACACCGCGCGATTATTTACAACCTTACATACATATGAATACGCTCGTACGTAGCTGGCATGGCAACACTAATCATACTCGTACGAGACGAGAGCTGACCATTTTACAAGTTGCATTTGAACATAATTATATCTAGGTACCTATCTAAAGCTATTATTCCATTTTATATATATACTAATGTATATATATGTATATATATTATACGTATTAAACAGGTACACCGATTAATTCACTGCAAATGTAACTTTGTAATCCTATACATTTGTATGGGATTACAAAGTTATTTATGCAGTTGTTGTATTTAGAAAACCAGACTGAAATTGCAAAATATTTTAGTATTCCCTTGATTTATACACTAAACACTAATTGTATTCTAAATTTGAAGTTTCTACGTTTGCTAGAAGTGCCTTAGAGTTTTGATGATCGGTCAGTCAGTGAGTGACAAAATTAAGAAATTTTGACTAGTTATTTACTACTTGTTCAAATTGAATGAAATTTGAAATATACCGTGTTTATACAATGCCTGATAGGTAATTAAAAATTCAGGCTTCTAGTTTTATCCACAACAAAGTTATAGGGGGGCGAAAATGGCCCGAATTGCTTCGAGAAAAGAATGGTACGGCCGTGCCGCTTTTTTGCTCGACTTGGCGGGGGCACTGCCGTGCCCCCAGATATAAAATTTATATAAAATTATTAATATAAATAGGTACTGAAATATACTTAATAGATCGTCCATGAATAAACTAAAATAAGAATAATTAATTACTTTGTATGTAAGTCAAAACGAAGTTTTTATTATAATTTCCAAAATATCAGAGGTAACAAATTAACTTATTCCATAAATTATATAGTCTCTTATTAATGTGCGATAATAGTAAATGCGGAAAAGTGGCAACATTGAATTTTATATATTACACTAGATCAGTAATAACCGTGCCAAAGCGTTGCCACTGCACATATGGCCACAGCCATATGCCTAGTTAATGTCAGTTCAGTGTTCAATGTGACGCCGACAGAGTTGAGCTGCGACAAAAAATAGGTAAATGCGTAGTGAAATAATGCTATTCAAGGTCACAAAAACGTAATAAATCAAGCGGAATCACTTTCAACACATAATTTTTAGTTCTTGTTTCCATATAAACGTAAAAAACCTCAAATCGTAGAACGTGTAAATGAGATTCGCAATCTGGGCTTACTAATGGATGACAAACTACAGTTTGAGAACCACATACTAAGTACTAGCTGAAACTGCTTTTATAGACTTAAGGTTCTTTATCAAATAAGGGAGTTTTTTAAATTCGGATATTCGGGTAAAATTGTGTGACACACTTGTCCTTTCGAAATTTAATTATATGGACATTGTATATGGCCCGAGACTTTTAGCGCGGTCGCGACGTCTAGTGCAACGTGTTCAAAATGCATGTGCAAGATTTAGTTTTACAATACCGCCCGCGTGCACGTCACCCCTTACATTAACAATGCTAAAATGATAAAAATGGAATATCGCCGAAAACTGCACATGGCAACTCTCCTATTTGGGGTATTAAAAAATAAAACACCTCCTTATCTTGCTGACAAACTCGTATGGTCACGTGATGTAAAAACTTACAATACGCGCACTAGAGGGAATACTCTCGTCGTGCCTCGTCACCGCACTCACGCTTTCCGAGGAAGTTTCAAATACGCCGCATCCAAGTGCTGGAACGATATACCGCCTCCTTTGCGAAATCTGAAAGCAGTACACACATTTAAAAATAAATATAGAACACAATTACTGCAAAGTCAGATTAACTTTGATCAAAGTTTATTACGCTTTGCACGATTACGTACCTCATCGTCATAGATTATTAACAACGGAGCATTAAAATCGTCCTCTTGAGTGCGGCTTTTGTCTTCTTATATACTTTTATATTCTTCAATAATTACATAGTGTAGTATATAGCCCTTTATAGTATTTTAATAATCTCCCCTTTTGTAGTGTTCGTATAGACCTTCTAAGAGCATCTGAAATCAACATAAACGGGACGTGCTGTGTCGAAGTGGCATTAGACCATGAACGCTACTCTCTCCCTCTCACTTAAAAAAGTTACTGTCTCTTTCCCCCCTTGTTGTGCATAATTCTGTCATCATAATTTTATTTAAAACATAATAAAATGAGTATACATATAGCACTGATTTCGGTAGGTCACTGGTTGGACACATTGAAAATCAGCGCCATGGAAAAAAATTCATGGCATTATGCTGAGTGTGCTCTTGTTCCCAGATGACGCCTTGACACATACGAGTATAGGTATTGTATAGTTTGTAATATGTAGTATATTGTAATTTGTATTGTATAACCAATATTATTTGTAAATTATGTGTTTTTTGTTATTTTTTTATTTTTTATGTTATCTGTGATGGCGTCATTTTGGAGAATAAACCTTTCTTTCTTTCTTTCTTTCAAATAATTAAATAAAATTACCGAATATTGCCATTTAGGTTCAATGTTGCCACTATTCCGCATTTGTGATTATCCTACATTAATGGGAGACTATATAATTAATGGAGTAAGTTAATTTGTTACTTCTGATTTTAAATATTTTGGAAATTATAACAAAAACTACGTTTTAACTTTCATACAAAATAATTAATTATTATTATTTTAGTTTATTCATGAATTATCTATCAAATATATTTTATTACCTATTTATTTTATATTAATTATAATTTCATATAAATTTTATATTAATTATATTTTATTACCTATTTTATATTGTTTGATTTATTAGTACAATAAAAATACTTATAAAAATATGTTTTATTTCATCATTATGTTTACTTCTATACATCTGATAAGCTTAGTATCCTTTTTTCTAAGAGGACGCAATAAAGATTTTAAAATAAAATATACTTTTTTAATATAAAAACAGT